CCCCCCCCCCTCCCCCCGCCCCGGCTTGTTTCGTATTTGCGTTGTGTCGGGTGGTTTCTCCTGGCGCCGGCTCTCCTTTGGTGCCGGCGTGAGACTTGTCAGAGCGCAAGCAGGGGAAGCAGCGAGCCTGGTCGCTGCGGAAAAGTCTGCGCTTCCCAGTTCGGGCCGGGAGGGCGAGAGGGCGCAGGAACGGCTGCACCCGGGGGTGGCTTCTCCGCGTCTCAACTTGAGTCCTGGTTCGAGGAAGTGGCGAAGCCGCCAAGTCCCGGGAGCCCGAAGTTCCCGCAGGGTTTGCAGACAACTCTTTTGTTCGCGGAAGTTTGCACCCGCCACCCCTAAGATGCGGGCGCGCAGCAGCGGTTGCTGGACTGGCCAGGGCAGTCGCGATGGGGGTGAGGGGACGTTCTGCCTTGGGCGGGGGAAGTCCTCCGGGTGGCTACGGTGGGGGCTTGTGGAGTGGGGGGCGCCTGCGCCGGCGTGGCTTTTGCACATGGCGAGAAGGGCCATCCGGCACAAGCACACTGGTCGAGTCACATTTTTGCCAGTCTTTGATTTTCAAGCCCGTGGGAGTCGGGTTCTCAGCTCGTGGCTTCTCATGGCGGGACTGGACGAAGGAGACAAGGACACCCAGAATCCAGGGAGGATTCGCGGTTCGCATTGCCCCAAATACCTTCTCCCGGACCAGACCCCCCCGCTGCCCCCAACCCCTATACCCCCTACACCTATTCCCCACCCCCGTCCTCATACTTAAGAAACAATGCTTGTGCCGGACAGGCGCCTGAACAGCGACTAGTCGCGCGGGCATGCTTGCTCAGATCCCTCTTTTTTGGACTCCCTGAAGCCCAGCTCCCTCCATCTGACCGACCGGATTCATTAACACGTACTGTACTTAGTACGATGGTGAACAAAGAAAAGCTCTTTGCAGCATTTGATGAATGGGATTCTGCCTCCTATAGGCCACACTCTGAGTCTTCCATACGGTCGGTTGTCTCAGGACTCGGTGGGGTTGGGGAAGTGGCCCCCGTGGTGGGTTGCTTTCTGGGTCCGGGATCCTGGGCAGGGCATTTGTGCCACCGCCGTCGCCGCGCTCATCTTGCTGCAGCGGGTGCAGATGGAGCCAGGCTGACGGTTGTTCAACAGAAACAAATGTTTGTTGAATTGTTGGATGCTGGGGAAAAGGGACTGTTTTCTATTGACTGCTGCAGGAGTTGGAATGGCATTGTTTATTGGCCTGGAAAGCCAGGCAAACGTCTTGTGCTGCTTACAACATATTAGCAGACTTCCAAATGACATACTAGCATATGTATTCCCAGCAGTCCCCACCGGCTGGAAGGGGGATTCCTCCTAGCTTCAGATCCTAGACTGTAGGTTAAGAGATGCCACCTGCTTTGCTGACTTGTAGAAGGAATACAGTCAGCTATGTATTCAGCCAACCTGGTCAGACACACTTTTCCTGATTTGGCTAGCTTTTAGTTTCATTTTAACTTATCCACTCAATAGTAACTTATCTCAGTTACCGTTTTGATACTGAATTGCATGTGTGCAAGGTTTTTCTGTTGTTGTTTTTTTCCTGACCTTAGCTATGGACCATATAATCAGAAAACAGCTACTTCTCCCATTTGATAGTCTCTTTTAGTGAGAAGATTTGTGTCTTAAGTTCAGGATTAGTAGTTCTTGATTATGTGTCTGTACTTGGCTGGGGTCTGGATATTGTCACCTACTCTGTGAACCTGTGAATGTACTGATCCAGCTTTCTGGATGCTGTTCCAAGCTAGAAAACTAAGTAGGGGGAGGAAAGACCTGTATTTTTCTATCAAGTACCCCTCCTGAGAACATGATGCTTTTAAGACCATTTCAAATAATTTGGCCCAAATACTTCTTACATTCCCTTGAGAAGGTGAGATTGATGTGCAGACATTTTAATTTTTGAC